CGGCTTCCGCGCCACAGGAACCTGAGACTGTCTCGGTCGTCCTCTCTAACTTTAACTTGGAGGAACATATCTTGTATGTCGGCCATGACGGCCACTGGTCCCTCTCTGAAGCACAACAGTACTCCAAATAGTGATTGTAACAGGTCTGGGCCCGAGAGCAAGACGTCGTTGAGGTTATTCCCTTCATACTTGGCAGCTGCGTTGAACACTATTCTCAGCTTCTTCTTAACTGGGTGCACAATAGCGAAGTGGGGCAAGTAGAATGTTCTTCCTTTGTTGGAGGTTTCTGGAACTATCTCTGCGTATCCCTTCTAAATTAGACTCAGGATCTGCTCCTCGTAGTGCTTTCTTGCTTCTTGGTCTTGATCTAGTTTCTTCTCGATGTTGACCAGGCGTCGGACTGCTTGATTATAATTATTGGGTAGGGTTTCGTCTTCTTTTTTCCACAGGAGTGCCGTTTCATATTGACAGCTTGGCAGTTTCTTTGTAGTCTTCTCAAGGGTTTCTAATGCTCTTCTATCGCTGTCGTTGGTTAGTGATCGATTCTGGATCCTGAGAGATTCCAACTGAAAGTGTTCTCGGACGATTTCTTCTATGGTTTCTTCGCCAGTGGTCGCTCTGCCATAATGAGTGAAGTTTACTGTGGCAGTTGCTCCTGTTTCATATCCGTGTAACACCCACCCTAAGTTTGTGAGGGAGGCTACAGGATCTGACGGTTTGCCCTTCTTCAGCTTTCTTGTTACTATTAGTCCCCAATTGTCTTGGCCTATCAGTAGCTTGGGTCTTTCGGTGACGTAGAGGAGTTGGCTTTCAATTGCCTTTAGATGCTCGCAGTTTCTCACGGTGTCCTTGTTTATACATTGTTGAGACAACTTCAGGTCGTCGATGGTTCTTGCTACGATAGTCCTCTTTTCTCTTCTATGAGCCCCTTTCATTTTGATCTCGATCTTCTGTGAACTATCTTTTCTCAACACCTTCCCGCCGACTGTTTCGATCGTAAGTTTTTCTTGTTTCCCTTCGACTCCGATCTTCTCAGCGATTGACGCGTCTAAGAGTGTGACCGTCGACCCTTCATCTAATAACGCTAACACGCGAACTTGTACTTTTGGGCCATAGAGGTTTACAGGGATCATCTTCAGGTAGGCCTTTTCTTCTCCTTTGGCGTTGTGAATTGAGGCGACCTTTTCTTCTAACATGCTAATGATGTCTCTTTCCCTTGCTTCTCTTTCTATTGGTGCTGGAGGTTTGTCAGAATGTAAGATGGTATGATGCCCACATTTACACAGCTTGCAGACTGGGGCTTTTCAGTTGATCCTTGAGTGCTTGAATCGAAGGCACTTGAAGCATATCTTTGCCTTCTTAGTCATATCCCATTTTCCATTCAGGTTACCTTCTTTGAACTTCTTGCATTCTAGTACGAAATGTTCTTCTTCACAGAACGGACATGACTTCTTATATTTTTCTTTTGACGCTTCTTGTACCAAATGAACGGGTTTTCTTATTCCTCTTCTTTGCTCTGAGGATGCGTCAGGTGGAGCGAAGTCTCCGCACATGTCGGCGTCTGTTTCTAGGAACGCTTCGACGAGTAATAGCTCCTGAATTTCCTCATCTCTTCTGCTTTTGTGGTAGGCGAACCAACGAAACTTCATTGATGTCGGCATCTTGTCTACTATAACTCTCAGTGTTTCAGGGGAACTGAGATACTGTGGTTTCTTCAGGGCTTTTAATTGTCTCAACTGCGTTCTTTACTTTGCTCGCAAATATACATATGTCGCTTGGGTTCTCGCCGACTTTTGGGAGATTCTTCATTTTTTCTAGTTCTGCTAGTGCCAGTGCTCCAGGTCTTCCGAATCTTGCTTCTAGTCCCTTGATTACTTCGCGTGGGTCTTCGGCGGTGAACAGCAGGCTTTGGACGGCTTCTCTAGCTTTTCCTTGGATCGCTATTCTAAGGCGCGCTAGGTTCTGATTGTTACTGAAAGAAGCGGCCATATCCTCGCATGATCTCTAGAAGGCTAACCATTCTTCACAGGCCCCGTTGAAGTGAGGGAGTTCGAGGTGCTTTGGTGAAACGGTGTCACGTGATTTTTCGGATAGCTTGAGTATGACTGAAGCTAGTTCCTGGATGTCACTCTTCTTTTCTTCTACCTCTATTGGTTTGTGGTTCTTATTAGGCATGTCTCCGGTCTGGATGAACCACAGCTCGAATTCTCGAGTTCGTTCGAACAGTTCTTCTCCGGCACCATCTTCTTCTTCTGACTCCGCGGTGAGAAGTTCTAGTTCCGCTTGAGCAACTTTTGACCGAGCTTCTGCCAATTCTAGTTCCCTTAATGCCATTGTCATTTTTGCTTGCGCTTCTGCTCTCTTCCTACGCGACGAGCGAATGGAAAGTATGCCTGGATCGCGGGTCGTCTTCTTAGGGTGAGGCTGCTGCAGACTCTTTACTCTGGACGTTGGTATGCTTTCTTCGTTCAGACATGTCTTCACTGCGATACTTCTTTCTTGAATCTACGGCGTTGGATGACTCTCTTCTTGGTGAGGAACTGACGCTTCGACGGTGCGGGTCGGGGGGTGGTATAGGTTATGTCCCCCGGTGTTGATTCCTTTCCGGCAATGTTCTTATTAAGAAGTACGCGTTGTCTGTGTACGCTGCTGGACGATGCTCTTGTAAGCGTCGATCGATCTGATATTGACGCGTTCGTAGCCGTCGTGCTTGTAGATTCACTCGGCGTATTCATGCTCCAATCCGGAGTACTGTTACCCGTAGTAGCGTTACTTTCACTCGTAGTCTTCGACTGCACTGATTTTGATCTTGTATTTGAAGGCATCTTCCTAGTTTTCCTTAAACCCGATCCGGCTTTTCGAAGGACCAATGTTGATGTGCGTGTGTGAGAATGTTAGTAATGGAGCGGGTTATGCTGGCGGGATGTTAACTGGAGAGCATGCAGTAGCAGTTAGATGAGCAATAAATAACACTTCTTCAGAGTTTCTTCTTATTTATTTTCTTGATGCTTTATTCTTACATTGCCGGATTTGGAATGTTTTACCACAAAAAACGCCTCTTTTTTATAGGCAGCTGTGACCAATCAGAATTAATAAAATTTGCACACGGCACTAATGAATTTGCACACGGCACTAATGATTCCCGTCGACCAATCAGAGCGCAGAAATTTGTAAATTTCTAAAGGAAATTTACAAATTTCTTTAATATGTGTGGTAAAACATACCTTACAATGTTTTTATACATTCCTGGCAGTAGAGATAACTTATCTTTATTATTTCGAACATTAACATTCATAAAACTCTTAATTTACGTTTGTAAAAAATAAAAATAGTAGCGCGGTGTTCCTACGGTTTAGCTCCGTAGTAGCTAAGCTTTTTCCGCTTAACATACAAGTAGCGCCGCCAGGCGGTAGGAATGCACAACGCTTATCATGATAATATTATGTTTAAGAATCTATACAGAATACATTTTAACTTCTTATTAAATTATAATCTATTTTATAATAAGAGATTAGATTACAAAAGTGAAATATTGACATATTGTCGTTTTAGATTACTTTAAAAGAAAAAGAATTAAACAAATAATTAAATTTACGCTTAAATGTTAATATTTCTAATACAGCTCTTTACATTATAATAAGAGAAAGTTCTAATAAGTAACTAGACTATATATCTCGTTTCTAACATTCTAATTAAACCTAAATAAGCAATTAGATTCACATTTTCGTTACAGACTTTTGTTACTAACTTTCGTTACGTAATTTTAAAATAAAGATAGAAGCTAATATAAGTAGTTAATTCACTTTCTTGTTATTAACACTTTCAGTCTTTACACTTAGTTTTATATCACAAATAAGAATAAATTGAAATTAAATAATTAAATTCACTCGTCGTAGCTAACAACACTTTTATAACAGGAAACATTTAAAAAATTGTGTTATAAATCCACACAATAGCAAATACTTAAACTATTATGCTGCTGTGTTTTTCAAAATCTAATAATTAGTCTTTTTATCGACCGACAATTAACAATAATTATTTTTGTTTCTATTCTTGACCACTGAATTGTGACAAAATTTTATATATATAGGAGTTAATAAATATATATATATATATAAATATATATATATATATATATATATATATATATATATATATATATATATATATATATATATATATAAGTATATAATACATAAAGATGTGTATAATGTATACACATTGTTATCCTCGAAACCAGTGGTTTGGTTTCATTACAACACAAACACAACTAAAAAAAAACACTATTTTCTTTTTTTACATTTTCGATTTTTTTTTACATTTTTTTCTTTTTCTAAGTCTTTTTTAGGATCTAAATACAATTTTGCAGTTAAAATTTTGCTTTTATTTTATTACGCGTATCTTTATCTATCCAATGAGACATCTTTTAAAAATATAGGATTTCTACATCGGTGAATATTGTAATTGTAATGCGCGTGGCCGAGGTGGTGACACTAAAAAATTTATATGGCTGCCATTTAAATACAGCTAGGTCTAAATGAGATTTGAGGCATGATTGGCCATGAATTGATTATATTTTATAGCATTAAAAGCTCCGACACCGGTAACCGGACACACTGTGTATATATATATATATATATATATATAATACTCTCATATATATAAAATAAAAATAAAAGTAATAATGAAAATATAAAATAAATTCTTATTTAGTTTTTCAGTATTACGCTCTCCCCAATTTATATTATATTTTAAGTTTTAAAGTGCGTAACCACGAAACGGTGCCGGGGTTGGGCGTCTCTCGTTCTTTGGTGCCCAAAAAATGGATGACGGCACAAAAAGGAACGCGCATAGGGCCACAGCCTGGGGGTCGACAGGGCGCGTCTGGAGCTGGTGCTGGACGCGGCAGCATGCGGGCCGCCACCCGAACGCGAAACGCATTGCGGGCTTGCTATTGGGCGAAAGGGGAAAAAACTGTGGGGATAGCGTATAGGGCTCGGATGCATTGTGTTTTTGCTGAGCTGGAGCCGTTTATTCCCGTCACGGAACAAAACCTGGCAGACCGAGTTTGGTACATGATGCGGTCGAAAATATTTGATGCCGAACTCGAACAACTACGACGTGAGGCTATTCCCTCATCGAATGAATCGACGACGGCTATGGCTGGGGATGCGGCTCCACATGCGACAGACCACATGCTGGCGACCTATTTGGAAGCCAGCCAGGACCTTTGCGAGACGGACCCAATTCTTTTTGGCGCCGCAATGGCAGTTTGCCGTATTGTTGGCTCCAAACTTCCCATGGCTGGACGCGCTGTTAGACAAAGTAGCGCCATTCGAGCCTGGAGGAAACGAATTGAGGACCGTATCACAAAGTCAAGGGCTCTTATCGGCAGACTGACCAGCTTCAGGTCAGGTAATATAGACCGAGGGTTGTGCGTACCGTTATAATGGCGTTTTCCGGGACAAATATCACTTTGTCCCAGCTGGATATCACGCAGAAACTAACGGAGCGCATAATTGACCTGAAGCAAAAAAATCGCTGCTTGGGGGGAGGCGGATTCGACGATTTACAGAGAGGTCAAGGCGGTTCAACCAGAATCGTCTTTTCCAGAGTGATCAGAAGAGGCTCTATAAATCATTGGAGCAACCAGAGGTATGTGGAGCGGTCCCTGTACTGGATCAGGCTGACAATATCGCATTCTAGCGTGGCCTGTGGTCCAGAGCCAGAGCCCGTAAACCACAGCGAGGACCCTTGGATGGAAGTTGTGGCGAGCCAGGGTGCGAGTGTTACGAGTGAAAAGTCCGCACTAACATGACGTCCCATAGGATGCATCATCCGAGATCCTCGGTAATGAAGCTGTATTTGCCGTGAAAGCATGGTGGGCGTGGCGTTTTGAGCGCGCTCACCATACATAATCTCAAAGTGTGCAGCCTCCGTCATTACTTCCTGGTGAGATTGGATGACGATATAAGGACGTCATTTCTAGTGATAAAGAGCTTACCCCTCTATCCTTAGCCAACGAGCAATAGCAGCGCCCAGCAGTATATAGCATTTCCGACCGGGAGACCGTATGGAAGGAGAAGGAGTTCCAAGGGAGGTACTACAGGGCTCTACATGAGCCCTTCGTAAATACAGTTGCCTCCCTCAACTGGCTACGTTTTGGTGACCTCTTTGGGGAAACCGAGGGTTTTGTCTGTGCAATACAGAATCGGGTTATTAAGACCAACAACTATCGGAGATACATCCTAAAGGATGGCACTGTCGACGTCTGTTGAGCTTGTCGCCATCCCGGGGGGTCACTTAGGCATGTCATCTCCGGTTGTTCGGCGCTTTCTAACTCTGAGTACTTGCACAGGCACCACCTAATAGCCAGGATTCTACTCCAGGAGATCGCTCTGAAATACGAGTACGGTCTCGTGGACCGGAAATTGCCGTATTACAAGTACTTGCCAGAAGCCGTGCTCGAAAATAACCGCGCCAGGCTCTACTGGGACCGAGCCATCATCAAAGACAGGACTATTCTTGCGAATAAGTCTGATATTGTGCTGATGGACCGGGCACAGTTAAGGATATTTTTGGTTGACATTACCATTCCGTACAACGAGTACCTCGTGAAATCCGAAACAGATAAACGAACAAAATATCTGGACCTGGTTCACAAGGTGACCGACATGTGAGGTGGTCTGCCAGCCGAAATTATTCCTGAAGTCGTCTCTGCGAATGGGCTAATCCCAATCAACCTATCGGGTCATCTGAGGCGACTGGGACTCCGTGACGGACCGCTCCGGGATCAAATGCAGAAGGCGATGCTCCTCGATACCGCCCGCATTGTCCGCCGGTTTCTCATCCTTTCCCTCTAACCCTCGGCCGTTTGGTCTCCCCTGCTCAGGGCTTCCATCTGGTTGGATCTTTATTTATTTATGTATTTTCTGTATTTATTTTATTTTATTGATATTTATATATATTTATCATTTTCGTTCGCAATTATATATTTATGGAACCCAACTAGATGCGAAAATTATATAGATACCCCCAAAATATTAATAGTAATATAAATATTAAAATAATAATAAAAATAAAAAAATATTAATATAAAAATAAACGTAAAAATAATAATAGAAATAAAAATAAAAATAATATAAAAATAAAATAAAAATTTAGCTTAATAAATAGTTTTTTCAGTATTGCGCTCTCCCCAAATTATATTATATTTATTTCTGTTTGAGGGTAAATTTTACTTTAGGTTTCACTAAATTAAAATAACATTCAACATTGTAACTTTGTTAGGCGGCTATAGAAAGTGTAATCTCAATGTCATCATAAATTCTTCTATAACGTTCTATGATTTATATAACCACACATTTTATTAGAGCAATATGTGACTTTTACGGGAAAATCTATTTCACGCTATCGTGACTAAAATCTAATACTTATTTAGTTTTACAGCATTACGCTCTTCCCAACTTATATAGTTTGTTATATATATATATATATATATATATATATATATATATTTATATTTAAAAGTATTTAGTATATATAAGAAGTATATAATGTATATATAGGTATATTATATATAAATTTATATATACAGGTGACTCAGCTAACTTTTTAAATTTAGATCATTAATAAATTCGCTGGCAGTGGGGCTACTGAGATGTGAGGTACAAAAGCTAACGGTCCGGAAATTTTTAGTCAACGCCATGTCGTGGTCGGAAGCGCACCGTACGTATGCAGTGGAGGCTTATTTTAGCAATGTACATTCGTACACACGAGCACAACGTATGTTTTGTAGTTATTACAATATTCGGTAATTGCGTGATGCACTATAGTCAACCAAATCTAAGAAATACCTTTTGACGTTTCACATTAATCATTCCGCAATAACTTTGCACAAGCTTACTCACGCGATGACGCGACTTTACAATGCGTATAGTTTTTTATCACTAATTTAAATTTAAATTTTTCAAACAAAGCGAAATATTAAAAAATTACTAAATAAAAAAAAATTTACTTGACGTCATATCGATGATATGTCACTATGTAGATCACCGTAGTGCTTGGATGATTTAAATTCATTGTTATACGAATAATCGGCAAAAATATACAAATACTCGTAATAGGTAAAAATATTCAAATAATCGAATTATTAATTTTCTTGAATGTATTATTTGTTTTATTTTATTTTATTTTTAAAATTCCAATTACATGAATCATAAATATAACAAGTTTATTTTTTTAATTTGTCAACATTCCCGCCATTTTGGGAGTTTACTCTCCGCAGTTTTGTTGATTTTGTGTTTGTGTTCTTATTTTGTGACCCGGCTTTAACTTTTTGTACCGTTTCTTCTACATTCGTTGACCTTGGCAATTTATATACCGGACTCTGACTAAGCATGTGATCATAATGCCGAAAAGAAAACGTAGTTGTGGTAGTCGTACTTTAAACCGTCAAGCTCGTGCATTGGTGGTGAAATTACACGAATATTTTGGACGTGAGTCACAAAACGGTGGCCTCTTTTACCAGTGACATAAGTGCTGAATCGTGTCGGTGAAGCACTCGGGATTGGCAAACGCACCATTGCAAAGATCGTCACTGAAAAGTACGGACCTTCAGGTAGTGAGAATAATTTACTTCACACGCCGAAAAAACGAAAAAAGAACAAACCAGTAACAGGTATCGATCAATTCGACGCAGATGCAATTAGAAAACATGTCTAAGGCTATTTCATAAGAGGCGAATATCCTACTGTGGCGAAGTTGCAAGTAAGTTTAATAAATGCCGGTTTGTACAGTGCTAGTGTAGAGTCATTGAGAACCATTTTAAAACGCATAGGCTTTCGACACAAAAAAACTTGACAAACGTAAAATAATTATGGAGAGACATGACATAGTCTTGCAAAGAATAAAATTTTTAAGAGAAAAGAAAAATATAAACGATTGGGACAACGTCATATTTCTTGATGAAACGTGGTTAAACGCCAACCACACTGTAGCGCAAATATGGACAGATGACAATACAGCAACTTGCTCGAAGGTGCCCGCTGGCAAAGGTGGGCGCCTCAAAATTTGCCATGCGGGATCAGCCGGAGGAGGATTTGTACAAAATTGTTTATTAGCCTCCCAATCAAAGAGTATAAGAGATTACCATGAGGAAATGGATGCAGAAAAATGCAAAGAGTGGTTTATAACCCTTTTACGAAATATTCCTGCGAATAGCAGTGTAATAATGGACAACGCCCCGTACCATTCTATCCAAATCGACAAAGCCCCAACCCAAGCGAATAAGAAAGCAGATTTAATAGCATGGCTGCAACACAAAGGTGTGGAAGCGGACATGAAGTTATTGAAAGCTGAGCTAATACTAGCTAGTAAAGCAAAATAAACCACGTAAACCTTTATATGTTATTGATAAATTAGCAGAAGAGCACGCGCATAAAGTTATAAGATTACCACCATACCACTGCTAATATAATGCTATTGAATTGGTTTGGGCCCAAATCAAAGGCTAGTTCTTATATGAAAAGTGAAAACATATTAACTTTACTTAAACACACACAAAATGAAAATATCTTATGCTTTTTTACAGGCTACGTAGCACGACACAACGCCAAGCCACCTTTCACGACGAAGAAGATGGAATGTATGCTCAAGAAAGCATGTACCCATGTCACAAAGGATGAATGGGCAAAAGTGGTAGAAAAAACAAAAAACATGATTATTAATGACTTTAAAAGAGACATTAATTTTGATTGCATTATTGAAAATCAAATAATAATTAATCTTAAGAACGACAACTCAACTAATAGTAGTGAAAGTGATTGAATAAATTTATTTTTAATCTAGTTTCAATTTTAATTTTTTATGACTTTTCCTCTAGAAATAAGCAGTTACAACGAACGAAGAAAATGATAAATCTTTTGTTTTAAATTATACGTTTCTAATTTATTCTGGTATTATTTAAACCTAACTGTGAATGATTACCAACTCTAAATAATCGATATCGATTTTATTAAGAATCGGTTATTGTGCGTTCTCATTTTTTGGTTGGCATGCTTGGTGCAATAAATCTGACAGCTGTCAAAAGGTATTTCTTAGATTTGGTTGACTATAATTGTCGAATTAATAAAAAATGGTTAGAAAGATTTCGACTAACGGGCTCAGCTATAAACGAAACCGCCGCCGAAAAAGACCTGTGCGTTCCAAAGAAAACATTAAACGCGTCGCCGCTGCAGTTGAAGCCCAGCCCACGACGTTCGATAAGAAAACACGCAGTGTCTTTGAATATTCGCCGCTCTAGTTTTCAATGCACATTGACACTAGACCTAAACCTGCATTCATAAAAGATCCAAATAATGCAACAAATTAAGCCTGAAGATTATTTTAAGCGTAAAACTTATGCCGAACGAATGCTAGAAATTTTTCCGGAGCAAACTGACTTGAAAGA